AACCTCTAACATGGGTACCGAAGGACTATAACTCAGCATGATAAAGGCCATATATGACAAACCAACAGCTAACATTATACTCACTGGAGAGAAATTAAAGCATAAAGCATTTCCCCCAGGATCAGGAAAAAAGCAAGGATGCCTACTGTCAGCAGTCTTACCCAATACAGTCTTGGGAGCCCTAGCCAAAGCAATCAGGCAAGAAATAAAAGGAATACACATTGGGAAGAAAGAAGTAAAAATTACCATTATTTGCTGATGATGTGACCTTATATGTAGAAAATCCTAGAAAATCAGTTTTAAAAAAAACTGTTGGAATTAATCAACAATTTCAGTAAAGTGTTACGATACAACATCAGTTGCATTCCTTTACACCAATGATGAATCCTCTGAAAAAGCAGGAAAACCATCACATTCACAGTAACATCAAAAACAATATTCTTAGGAATAAATTTAACAAAGGAAGTGAAAGATCTGTACAGTGAAAACTACAAAGCTTTGCTGAAAGAAACTGAAGAAGACACAGATAAATGGAAAGGCATCTCTGTCCGTGGACTAGAAGAATTAATATTGTTAAAGTGACTATATTACTGAAAGTGATCTACAGATTCAACGCAGTCCCCTTCAAAATACCAAAAGCATTCTTCACAGAAATAAAAGAAATAACCTTAAAATTTGTGCAGAACCACAAAAGACCCCAAACAGCCAAAAACAATCCTGAGAAAAAGAACAAGGTTCAAGGCATCACACTTCCTGATTTCAAACTACATGACAAAGCCGTAGTAATAAAAACAATACAAAAATAAATGACATCAACCAATGGAACAAAATAGCCCAGAACTAAACCCTGGCCTATACAATCAACTAATATTCAACACAGGCACCAGGAACACTCAATGGGGAAAGGACAATCTCTTCAACAAATGGTGCTGGGGGAAACTGGAGAAAAACATAGAGAACAGTGAAGTTGGACCCTAATCAACACGACTCACAAAAATTAACTCAAGATAGATCAAAGACTTAAAGATAAGACCTGATATCATAAAACTCCTAGAAGAAGATATAGGGGAAAAGCCCATCAATAATGGTCTTGGTAATAATTCTTTTGGCATGACACCAAAGCCCAAACAATAATAACAAAAAATTAACAGAAGAGACTATATCAAACTCAAAAGGTTTTGCACCACAAAGGAAACAATTAACAAAATAAAAGGACAGCCTACAGAATGAGGAAAGATTTTTGCAATCCATATCACTTCTTTATGGAATCTAGAAAAGTTCTACCTGTAGAAAACACAGTGCAATGATGGTTACCAATGGCTGGGGGATAAGGGACAAGAGTGACAGTGTTTAAGACTGCAAACTTGTTATGAGTAGTAAATAGGTCAAGGCTAGTGTGCTGTGAGCATTTTACTGTGATTATGTAATACGGTGACTGTCAGTACATTGGCAATCATTACAATATAAGACTATAACAAAGTAATGTGCTGTGTAGCTTTTTAAATTTATACAATGCTATGCATCGATTTATTCCATAAGAAAAAAAGGAGGCTGATTGGTCTGTGGGCTATTAATATTCTTCACTTATGCTTGCATTCAACAAATATTTATTGGGCACTGTGCAGGAGTGAGTAAAGTCTGAGCGGTGTATGGTCCCAGGAACTCCATCCCATAGGGCAAATGGACACAGAACCTATTATAACAGCACAGTGTGGTGAATGGTACAATAGTATATCCATATCGTAGTATAGGTCCTCAGTGAGAGAGCAGCTGTGGCAGGTTCAAAGGTAGCAGAAGCTTACTGGAGGAAATGCTACCTGATTACATTTTAAAATACGCAGGAGTTGATCAAAGGATAAGAAGGAGTTTTCCAGGTAGAAGGGACAGCTTGGGCAAAGTTTCAGGTGGGGAAAAATAGCCCTACCACATGCCAGGATTTGTAACAGGTTTGGTGCTGGATATAGGTGGTGAGAGATCAAGTTGGATCTCTCAAGTTGGAGGGAGGGCAGGGACCAAGGACAGGAGGATCTGACTGTGAGGGAGTCTTGTGACTTTGGGGAGCCTCTACTATGTTTTAATCAAGGGAGATGCGCTTGTAGACAGATCACTTCGGTGGTCATGGAAAATGTACTTGACAGGGACAAGACCGGAGGCTGAGAAACCATTTTGGAGCAGTTACAGTGGCCCAGGTCAGGGATGATGATGGACTGGGAGGACAGAATAAAGGATATACATTCCAGGAATATCTCTGAAGTACATGAGGAAAAGGAGAGCAGGCACAAGAAGGATTGCCAGGTTTTTGCTTTGGGTGATGAGATGATGAATGTTATACAGAGTAGAAGGAAATCAGCAGATTTGGGACTTTAAGTTCCTTATAAAGGTCCAGATGGGTAAAGATCTTACAAAGATATCCAGAAGGAAGTCTGAAGAAGGTTAGCCTGGTGATGTGAATTTGGAGCTTTTCAACTCTAGAGACAGTTGAGATCAAGTGCGTAGATGAAGCCACCATGGAGATGGCCTGTAGAGAGGAGGACGGGATGGTGATGGAGTCCTAAGGGTGTATGGACGGTACAATAGATAAAGGAACACTGTGAGAGATAAGGGACAGACCATCAAACCACAGGGTCATAGAAGCCATGGAATCCCTTTCAAGAAGGAAAGAACCATCAACAGAGACGCATGTGGCTTAAACTAACAGTAAAATAAGAATGGAATGATGTCCATTAGAGTTGGCTGTTGGGACATCACCGCTGACTTGGAGATTTGCACAAAAATGGTGAGCTGGAGGCCAGGGGGCAGTAGGCTGAGGAGTGAGTGGGGGCGGTGAAGTAAAGTCAGAGGTTCTAGATGACACTCTCGAGAAGTTACGTTAAAAAAAGTAGAGACAGACCCATACATACGGAGAGCAAACTGATGGTCGCCAGAGGGGAGGGGCAGGAGGATAGGCAAAATGGGCAAAGGGAGAGGGAGGTACAGGCTTCCAGCTGCAGAATGAGTCAGTCACAAGGATGATGGCACAGCATAGGGAACATACTCAATGATAGTGTCACGGTGCTGTGTGGTGACAGATGGCAGCTGCCCTGTGGTGAGCACAACATAATATCTAGAGATGCTGAATCGCTGTGTTGTACACCGAGACCATCGTAACATCTGTCAGCTACACTCCAAGACTGATGATAGACAGATGGAAGTTTAGTTCAAAAGGGAAAAGAAATTGTGCACCAGCCACACACAGATGCAGTCAGGGGAGGGTTTTCTGAGTGAGATTTACATTTTGTTCTCAAACTAAGAGGAAGGGGTGGCGGGGCGGGGGGTTGAAACTCTCTTTGGGAAGGAACGGCCAATGAGACACAGTTGCGGAGGGTCAGGGGAATAGGCCGGGGGGTAGGGTGGTCCAGGTCTGACCCTGAACAGGTTGCCTTATCCTCTGAGCTGGGGAAAGGGGACAAGGATGTGTGAGGCTCTGCGGGGGTAGAAGGTCGTGAAAGATTAGAACAGAGAAGCTCTACGTTGTGCACAGAGGGAGAAACCGGTTTCTCGCGAGTGGGGCACAGCTTAGAATAGCTGCAGAAAGGTCCTAGAGGAGGAACTTGCCCAAGGCAAGGACAGGGTGATGGATGGCGGTGAGGGCCAAGATGCCTTTGTGCGGTCTCATACCTCTCGGGGCTGAGCTGACCTTGTTCAGCAGACCTTGGCTTTGTGGCTGTAGAATCAGACCAAGGGAGGTGTGGCTCTGGCCCAAGAGGTCGAGGAAGGGGCAGGGCATGTGTCCTTCAGGTGATCACTGAGGTTGGGCTGGGTTGGGAAGGGGACCCGGAGCTGATGGAGCAGGAGAGTGAGGCGGTCACAGAGGGCAGGAGAGCGCTCAGTGGGGATTTCACAGGGTGCGGGACACTGGGGGACAAAGAGAAAATAAGAGAATAAGAGAAGCATTAGTTTTGCGAAGCGTTAAAGTTCGACTCCTTATAAGCTTCTGGAAGGAAACTGACCCCCTTACATTTAACTTTATTTCATCTCTTAAAGCTATTTGCACTGAAATAGCCAACTGCAGTTTGAAAGTTGTTAGAGGAAACATTTGGAGGTGTGCTGATTACAAAGCCAGCAGGCTAAGGTTTTGATAATACTTTATTAGTCCAAACTGAGTTGGCCTAGAATGAGGGAAAGATTTGAACCAGTGAACAGAAGGTCTACGCGCATCAGAGCTGAGGGGAGATAGAGAGATTTGGGGCTGGTCTTTAAGATGGAAATGTTTGTTGTTTTTCTTTTTAAATGAGAAATCGATGACAGTTCTGGAAGTGACACTGTGTGGTGTTGGGGGGGCCGACCCCATCTCCTAAACCAGGTGGGTAAATTGTGGTGGCAAATAACATGGCAGAAGTTTTGGAGAAGCTGTGGCCTCAGGAGGAGTCAGGAGTTAGTTAAGGCAAAAGACTATGGATTCGGGGCAGAGGCTGAGCCTCCAGGAGACCCCGTTGGCCTGGCGGAGAAGTCCAGGGCCAGAGTAGCTGGCGGCTTGGTCAGGAAAGAGGAAGGCAGCCTGGAAATGAGAGTATGGGGAAGTTTGGGTAGTCAGAGCAGAAGCTCACCGGGGGGGGGCAAGGGGGGGCGGCAATTTTCAAAGAAGATGTTTTTGAAGCCTTTGGGGACTAATGGGGTGCTCAAAGAATTCTGTTGGAAAGTTGACTCTCAGTGCACAGGTGAGCTGAGGTGATTAGGAGCGGTGAGGACAGCAGGTGGTGGAGGTCAATCTGTCCACACCCCCTGAGGCCCCGGTGGTGGGAGAACTCATTTCAGGCAGGGGGAGGACCCAGGAGAGTATCCTCTGTCGGTGCCCAACCCGGAGATCTGTGTGTTTTCAAGGTATCCTATCAGGTTATGTCTATATTGAAGAATGAAGTAATGATTGGGTTAATATAAATGTTCTTTGCAGTCTCGTAAATTTCTTCCCCCAAACTAACTTATTTTCTTTATTTTTATCCACATGGATATTATTCCTACAGGACTTACTGGCCAGACTTGGATGGGAAAATAAGAGAAGCATTAGTTTTGCGAAGCGTTAAAGTTCGACTCCTTATAAGCTTCTGGAAGGAAACTGACCCCCTTACATTTAACTTTATTTCATCTCTTAAAGCTATTTGCACTGAAATAGCCAACTGCAGTTTGAAAGTTGTAAGTATGATGTTGACTTCAGTATTATTACATAAAAAGGGCTGATTCCCTCCCCACGTCCGTGAAAGCTGTAGGCACACGCATTTGCATAAACTGCCAGTTAAGAACCAGGATTACGGTCTCTGACAGTGAGAAAGTATTTCAAAAGTAGGATAAGTTTGTTTGTTTTTGTTTTTTTTTTTTTAAGACAAACACAGGAGAAAAAGAGCCTGGAACCCATGTTTGCTGGAGCCCTCCCGGCCTCGCCCTGTTTTCACACACTGCCTGTTGGGTTTTCTCTGCTTTGCTTGAACTGCCTCGTTCACCTGCCGTTCCTGTTTCTAAGTCTGTGACCATCAGAGGAGTGACACGTGCTCCTCCACAGTGTCCCACCACCACCACCTGAGCTCCAGTCCCTCGGGCTGGGTGCTAATCCACATACTTTGAGGGAGGCAAGATCGGGACCAGGTTTTCAGCTCAGTGTAGCAATTCCTTAGCTCATCTTTGATTCTCCTCGGGTCCTCACATGTGATGCCCTCTTCCTCCCCTCTGGGCCTTTGCGCACGCTGTTCCCTCTGCCTACAGCACTCTCTTCCTCTGTGCCTTATCTGACTAAGGCCCGCTAGTCCTTTAGGGCTCACTTTTTCCAACCCCCACTGCAGTCATTGGGTAAATGTACCCTGAGACCCTACTCTGTGCCAGGAACCCTTCTGGGTGATGGCTCTGTGCTCCATCTGTGGTCCCTCTTAGGGACCAAGATGACAGGGACATCACCATCCGCTCTGACACATAGCTTCCAAGGTAGTCCCAAGCCTCAGCATCCCCAGGCCAGGAAAGAGAATGGAGGACTGCCTGTGATGCATTTCCAGGGTGGACCTGGAGGTGTGAAGATCCCGTTAGCCTTTCTGCTGCTGCTCAGAAGTCGCCCACCCCGCCACACCTAATGGCAGGGGAGGCGCGTTCCCAAAAAGACAAAGGAACAGGTCTGTGGGTCATCAGTCTGCCATTCTGGGCACCCACACGGAGAACCCTCATCCCCCACTGGGTACCGCACAGCACAAAAGTTCAGGACCTCCCAGAGACGTGCAGTTCTGGACCTCACAGTTCGATAAACAGAAACTAAAAACGATTATGCATAAGACCCAAAACCCAGGCTGAAGTTACCTCCTCCCCATATAACAGGGACAGGGGAAGGCCAGTTAAATTATGTACCAGTAGCCACAGCCAAAAGTTTTGTTGCACGTAATTCTGAAACATGACCAATATGCTTCCTTGCCCCTATACTTCTGCCTCCCGCCCCCTCCCCCCCTCTTTCTCCCCCTTCCCTTCCTTTTCTCCCTCTCTCTCTCTCATTAATGGTGGCTTCATTCAGCTCATCAGACTTGGGTGGGAAGATTATACCAATTATGATTATTCCAGTTATCAGATCTTTGCTGCAGGATTGAGTCTTAACTGGCCTCAGTCACTTAAAAGTATTTTTCAAACTAATTTTCTGCTCTTAGGCTCCTAGCACAATCAGTTTTTCCAACCCATTGAAATACCAAATTTCCAGTATATCTGTTCTCTTTCCTGTCTGCTTACAAGCCAGCACACCTGATCCTGAGCTCATTCATCTCTGATAACTTCCTGAAAGCACTAATAACAAACAACATATACTATTAACAATTTGTTCCCTATCCCTTGCCCTGTAGCCAGAGGTTTTTTCGGGGGCGGAGTGCTTGGTCTTCCTCCCAAATTAATGCAGGTTATGATTTTACCAAATACTTTGCCACTGCTTTGTTCTCCATTCTTTCCATGCTACAGTACCAATTTCCTTGTTGCCTGCTACCCATTGGGTAAACCGTTGTTACATCTGTTATGTTTTTATCATTACTCTATGGCAGCATCTCATTTCACTTTGCCTAGAAGTAGTAAGTGCTTAATATTTTTTTTTTAAATGAAGGAATTTAAGTTCATGAGTATAGACAGTTGGACAGGCACTGAATTACATACTTTGTATGTACTATCTAATATTCACAACTACACTATGAAGCAGGAACATTTATATTGTAAAGACGTAGAAATTTATATTGTACATTGTAAAGACTTGAGAAGCTACACATCTGACATATATTTCTGGGATAAACAAAAATCTAGATAAAATGTTCTTTAACTCATTCATATCATTAAATTTTTTTTAAAGTTGAAGTTACCAACAATATAAAGACATAAAATTCTAGGATTTACCATAAATTTCAAAAAATTATGATTCTCATGTAGATTACATTTTAATCTCCCTAATATTCTAATAATATTGATGGAAAACATTTTTTTTCCATTTACCTGGTTTTTATGAACTGTGGTAGCCATGCACATGTCTGAATTCACAAATCAGTATTAGAAATAGAAACAGGTCTGTGAAGCCTACAGCTAACATCTTACTCAATGATGAAGAGTTGAAAGCTTTTCCTTTAAGATCAGAAACAAGACAAGGGTTCCAGCTCTTACCACTCCTATTCAACATAGTACTGGAAGTCCTAGCCAGAGCAAGAAAATGAAATTAAAAGTATCAGAATTGAAGAGGAAGAAGCAAAATTGTCTCTATTTGCAGATGACATGATTTTCTATATATAAAATCGTAAGACTCAACCCAAAAAATGCTGGATTTAATCAATGAATTAAGCAAAGTTGCAGGATATGAAATTAAATACAAAAACCAGTGGTGTTTCTACACACTAACAATGAAATTTCTGAAAAAGAAAGACATAGATTCCATTTATACTAGCATCAAAACAACAAAATACTTAGGAATAAACTTAACTAAAGAGATGAACCATTTTTATGCTGAAAACTATAAGACGATGAAAGAAATCGAAGACGATGCAAAAAAATGGAAAGGTACCCCACATTCACAGATTAGAAAAATGGATATTGTTTAAACTTTAATACAACCAAAGCCATCTATAGATTCAATGCAATCCAATCAAGATTCCAATGGCATTTTTACAGAAGTAGAAAAAAACGCTCATAAAATTTATGTGGAACTGCAAAAGACCCTGAATAGCCAAAGAAATCTTGAGAAAGAAGAACAAAGAAGCAAGTATTACACTTCCCGATTTCAAGCTATGCTATAAAGCTACGGTCATCAGATATGGTACTAGCATAAAAACAGACAAATAGACCAATGGAATAGAACCAAGAGCTCAGAAATAAACCCAAGCATATGCAGCCAGCCAATATTTGACAAGGGAGCCAAGAATACTCAATGGGAAAAAATATAATCTCATCAACAAATGGTGTGGGATAACTAGATATCCACATGTAAAAGAATGAAACTAGACCCAAATCATACACCGATCACAAAAAATGAACACAAAATGGATTAAAGACTTAACTGTAAGACCTGAAACCATGAAACTCCTAGAAGAAAACACAGGAATGAAGTTGCTTGACATGGATTAAGGTAATTTTTTGGATGGGACATCTAAAATACAAGCAACAAAATTAAAAAGAAAGTGAAAAGATCACCTATGGAAGAGGAAAAATGTTTGCAAACATATATTTGATAAGGGCTTAATACCCCAAATCAATCAAAAACTCATACTACTGAATAACAACCCAATTAAAAAATGGGCAAAGCACCTGAACAGACATTTCTCCAGAGAAGATCTACAGAAGGCCAAGAGGTACATGAAAAGATGCTCAACACTGCTAGTCATTAGGGAAATGCAAACCAAAACCGCTGTAAGATACCATAGCATGCATGTTAGGCGGCCATCATCAAAAAGACAAGAGATAACAAGGATGTGAAGAAAAGGGAGCCTGTGTACACCACTGGCAGGAATGTAGATGGGCACAGCCACTATGGAAAATAGTATGGAGAATCCCCAAAAAATTAAAAATAGAACTACAGTGATTCAGCAATTCTATTTATGGGGCTATATCCCAAGGAAACTAAAACACTAACTCAAAAAGGTATCTGCACCTTTGTGTTCTTAGCAGCAGTATTCACGGTAGCCAAGACATAGAAACAACTTAAGTGCCCATCAGTGGCTGAATGGATAAAGAAGTGGTGGTATACCTATACAACAGACTATCATTCAGCCAGAAAAATGAAGAAATACTACCATTTTTGACAACATAGATGGACCTTGAAGGCATTATTCGAAGTGAAATAAGTCCGAGGAAAACAGATACTGTAAGATATTGTATGTATAATCTAAAATTGAAAACAAAAACAAAGAACACAAAGTCATAGAAAAATAGATGAGACTGGTGGTTACGGGGGGGTGGGGTGTAAAGATAGGGGAGACAGGGAAGTGGAGGAAGGTGGTCAAGGGTATAAATTTCCAATTACAAGATAAATACTAGAGATTTAACGTACAACATGATGACTACAGCTAACACTGCTACGTGGTATGCAGGTAAGTTGCTAAGAAAATAAATCCTAAGAGTTCTCATTACAAGGAGAAATTTTGTTTATTCTTTTCTTCTTTCTTACCTTTTTATTGTATCTATATGAGAAAATAGATGCTAGCTGGACGTATTGTGTGTCATGTCACGATAAGTGTAAATCAAAGCATAATGCGGTACAACTTAAATTTATACAGTGATAGATGTCAGTTACTCCTCAGTAAAATGGAAAGAAACAGGTCTACAATCACTATTATGGATCTGTTTTCCACACCAGATTTGCAAGTGAACGTGATAACCAGGAGTGGGATTGGGGCACCAATCTCAGTTTGGAATCAGATAATCAGGGATTAGAGGAAACACTGGTATGGTCCCAGAAAGCCAGGCAGAGATCCAGGAGAAGAGAGTCCATTTGTGTTCAGTACCTTTCCATGGATGAGAGAATCCTGGGGGTTATTTCAGCTCAGGGATGGCATTTTCTAGATAACTGAAGTGGCACGTGGGACACCGTGGAAAAGCAAGTGAAGCACTGTATTCCCAGTGCTTAGCAGGATGCTGGCACGAAGCATTCAAAACGTGTTGGGTGGATGGATGGGAAGAAGGAAGGAATCAAAAAAGGTAGCTGATGAAGTGTTCAGGAAGGATCTGTGAACCAGGGAGTGAAGGGAGCAGGAAGCATGTGGACGTGGAGTCACTTTAGCACACTCTAGTGTTCTGGGAAAGCGTGAAGACTCTGCTGGGTGAGCTGATTCACTCCGAGTTCAGAGCACCATTGCCAGACTTACCAAGTTCAGCAGTGTCGTAAGATACAGGCCTGACTATGATTTAGATATGACAGTACCCACAGATCAGGAGATGAAGGCCATTGGAAAGACTGTTTTATTCACAAATCTCAAGAGAAGGGAATAAGATGGGAAGTCCCAGGGTCATCGGGGAGGCAGGAGTGAGGGAAACATGGACAAGAACTTTTGTTTTGGTTTACAGGGTTGGGGAAGGGGCAAGGCAGGATAAACCCAGTTAGGACTAGCAAGTTGGATGATTTCGGTGGGCTCTTGGGCCCGGGGGCTGTCCCTAGTTGTCTGGTACCTGACCCTGGGTGATTAGGGCAGGTGGGTAGTGGCCCAGAGTGGGAGCCCATAAAGGAGGTGGTTCAGGGTATGGACCATGGACTGTTTGGGTTACGTATGAGAAGTGTTCTCACAGGCAAGTTGTTTGCTTTCTCCAGGAATTAGCCAGCCCTCAAGAGGGCAGTCCCCCAGGCTCAGCATATGGCTCAGATGTCAAAGCATCGGAACACAGAAAAGAAGACATGACTAATACAGAAGCAGAGGGAAGAAAGTCTAGAGCCTACCACACATGGTGCCTTTGCTCGCCCCTCTTCTCGAAGACACTGCCCGTTGAAATCTCCATTATGAAATATTAAGTGCTCTCATTTAAGATTAGCAAGAAATTATAAGGAAAGCAGAAACCATCCTTTTATTCTCTTCTTAGTCAAGAGATCACCCTCAATGGTGGGCCATCCTGTGAGCTCGGTCACGGTTCAGGTCTCGTCTGAGTAGTTACCAGTTCTAGCAGATTCTGGAAAGACCAGCCCACCTACCTCCACTGTCAGCCCCTTCTTAGCCCACCCACCCTATGCCCCAGGCCCGAGAGGTGCTTTTAGGGTCACAGTAAGTTGAAATTTAGGATTCACAGTCTGAAGTGGTGATTTGTTTTTGACTTATTAAAAGAGCTTGCAGACCAAGGTGTTGAGAAGCAAAGCATTAGTTCTCTTGGCAAAATCTCTTTTGACCTTTGCAAATCCCCAGCTGAATCACCTAGTCATTGACACAGGGCCTGCTGCCTTTATAATGCGTGCAACAGAGGAACATTATTAATTCAGTTCGTTAGCATGCGTGACAGAAAGCACCTGGAGGCAGACCTCAAATACCAGTGCACCCTGATGAGTAAGACAATGAGAATTAAAAGAAACTTCTGGCCTTCACCCTGTTGAAAGAATGAATTTTATGCTCATTTTGCAGCTTAAAAGTGTTAATTATAGATCTAGTTGAGCGTGCTAATTTTCCCTCTTGTTGCCTATATAGATGGGAGAACAAAAATAGCTTCCTCTATATGGAGCAACAAGATTGTGGCTTTGATAACGCAGCATGAGGTCGACTGTGGATATTTGGAGAAGAAACCCTTTTGTGCTCCTGAACAAAACCAAAAATGTTCCCTGTTCACCTTTCTTGATTTGCTTATTTTTGTGTCTTACAGAAATTTTTCGATCTGGAAAGAGAGAATGTGTGTGCTACAAAAGAACAAAAGGATCACACCTTTCCTAAATTAAACCGCAACAAGTACATGGTGACGGACAGCGCGGCTTATATTGGTAGGTGTCGGGGCTGTCGGGCTCCTTGGGGGACCACGGGACCATGCAGGCCAACGGTGGTCCCACCGTGGTCTTCCATGCCCTGCGGGCCCTGGAGGAAACAGGACGGGGAGGACAAACACCCCTTGAACTTACCATCTCCTCTAGGGCTTGGTTCAAGTATGAGGACACCATAGAAGATATTTTTAATAAGTGTTTTCAGAAATTCTTTGGCCCACTTGCTTCATGTTACGGGTGAGGACATGAGTGGCTCACGAAAGGCAAGTCCTAGGGGCACCCAGGTCGCTCGGTCAATTGGGCATCTGCCTTCAGTTCAGGTCATGATCCTGGGGTCCTGGGATGGAGCCCCGCATCGGGCTCCCTGCTCAGGGTGGGGTCTGCTTCTCCCTCTGCCCCTCACCCTGCTCGTGTTTTTTTCTCTCTTACTCTGGCTCTCTCTCAAATAAATAAATAGAATTAAAAAAAAAAAAAAAAGAGTCCTGAGAGTTAAATGAACACAGTGCTCCCTTCCCACCCACCGTACCTCAGCCAGCCTGTCCTGAGTCACAGGAGGCTGACCTGACGGCAGGTCAGCACAAGGAGCACTGCCTGGACAACCGTCCCTCCTCCGCCGCTCTGTAAATGTCTGCCCTTGGAGAACTTGCTTACGCTCTCTAAGCCTCAAGATCCTCTGTACAATGGGGCCCATAACAGTTTCTACTTTGTTGGGTGAAATTTAAGCAGAATAATATATGCAGGGTACCTTGCACAATTAGAATCCCGGCACATAGATAATAACGGATTCATGTCAGCTGTTATTTTTAGGGTAATAATGCTCCAGATGCCGAAATCATACCAGCTGGTGGAATTACTAATGTGTCCGTCTGTGCTCCTTTCCTACAGTGTGCAGGAGTCCAGGGTAATCCCTTAACTGGTAACATCGGAGTGGAAACTGTTATCTATAAAAGACGGGACATAAATCCCAGAACGGCAGTCTGGCTATTACATTGTACAGAGGACATGGCAGGCTCAAAGCAGAAAAGAAAAAATGTGTTTGGGATGGAGGAATATGGAATATGGTGTTTTTTTCCCCCCAGTTCAGTGAGTGAGTAAAGAGTATGGTGTTTATGCTTTGTAAAGCACTTTATCTCATTTGATTTTTTTTTTTCCCTAAGATTTTACTTATTTGACAGAGAGATAGAGAGGGAGCATAAGTAGACAGAGTGGCAGGGAGAGGGAGAAAAAGGGTCTGCACTGACCCAGGAGCCCAGTGCGGGGCTCAGTCCCAGGACCCGCGGATCATGACCTGAGCCGAAGGCAGCCACATCTGACTGAGCCACCCAGGCGCCCCACGCCTCTGTTTTCTTATCTGTAAAATGTGTATAAAAGTATCTACCCTTTGGTGGTGGTAGAAAAATTGAAAGAGATAATATAGGAAAAGCTCCAAACACTGGTTCTCGTCTGTCTCAATCCTTAGTAAATACGGATTTTTGGCTCTCTCTTTTCTTCTCCCTGTACAATATATTTTTAGAATACACTTTTTTTTTTTTTTTAGAGCAGTTAGGTTCACAGCAAAACTGAACAGAAACTACAGAATTCTCACATCCCTGGGCTCCTCACACACGAAACACAACCTGCCTCATTATCAGCCGCCCCCACAAAGTGGTGCATTGGCTACAATGGGTGAACCGACACCGATATTGATGTACAGTGGGGGTTTACTATCTTTTTTTAATTTTATTTATTTGACAGATCTCAAGTAGGCAGAGAGGCAGACAGAGAGGGGGAAGCAGGCTCCCCGCTGAGCAGAGAGCCCGATGTGGGGCTCGATCCCAGGACCCTGCAGTCATGACCTGAGCTGAAGGCAGAGGCCTTAACCCACTGAGCCACCCAGGCACCCCGGGGGTTCACTATCAATGTGACATTCTGTGGGTCCTGACAAATGTATAATGACGTGTATGCACAATTAGTGCGTCATAGTCATTTCACTGTCCTACCCGTCCTCTGTGCTCCCTGCCTCCCTGCCAGCTCCTGGGCAACCACTGATCTCTTTTACGGTCTCCATTGTTTGGGCTTTTCCAAGCTCTCACATAGTTGGACTCAAATAGTGTATATCCTTGTCAGGTTGGCTTCTCTCGCTTAGCAGTATGCGTTTAAGCTTCCTCGGGATCTCTGGATGGCTGGATAGCTCCTGTGTTCTTTGCGCTGAATAATTATCCACTGTCTGGAGGGACCAGTTCATCCATTTACCTTCAGGACATCTTGGTTGCTTCCAGGTTTTGGCAGTTATGAATAAGCTGCTATAAACACATGCGCACACGTTTTTGTGTGGACATGTTTTCAACCCCATTGGGTGATGGCAAGGAGCATGACTGTCCTATCAAATGATAGGACGAATGTTGAGTTTTGTGAGAAACTGCCAAACTATCTTCTAAGGCGGCTCTACCATTTTGGATTCCCACCAGCAGAGACAGAGAGTTCTGCTGCTCCACATCCTTGTCAGCATTTGGTGGTGTCAGTTTTCCAGATTTTGGCCATTCTCATAGGTGTATAGAGGTACCTCCTTACTGTTTTAATCTGCATTTCCTTGATAATAGATGTGGAGCACTTCTTCATATGCTTTTTTACCATCTGAATATCATCTTGGATGAGGTGTCTTTGGCCCATTTTTTTCATCAGGCTTTTCATTTTCTTATTGTTGAGTTTTAAGAGTTCTTTGTATATTTGGAATAACAGTTTTTTATCAGGTGTGTCTTTTGCAAATATTTCCTCCCAGCCTGTGGCTTCTCTCTTTATTCTCTTGACAGTGTCTTTCACAGAGAAAACATTTTAAATTCTAATGAAGTCCAGCTTATCAGTGATTTCTTCCCTGGATTGTGCCATTGGTGTTGTTCCTAAAAAGTCCTCACCAAACCCAAGGTCATCTAGATTTTCTTATTTGTCATTTTCTAGAAGTTTTACAGTTTTGCATTTTACATTTTTCTTTGATGCATTTAGAGGTATTTTTTGTTAAAGGTGTAGGGTCTGTGTCAAGATTCCCTTTTTTGCAGGTGGATGTCATTCTTCCAGCGCCATTGTTGGAAAGACTAGCTTTGCCCCCTCGTATTGCCTTTGCTCCTCTGTAAGGATGAGTTCACTCTATCTACATGATCTGTTTTTGGCTCTCTATTATAATGCATTTTTAAATGAGTTCATTTTACACACAACATTTTGGCTAAACATTTAATTCCCTAGAGCAAGGCATAGTCCTTGTATAAAAATATTTAAAAAAGCATCCAGAGGGAAAACTCATTGATAATTTAAATAATTATCAGCACGTTCTGGAAATCTGAAGTCGTCATACGGACACCTGCTGAGAATGCGGAGTTAAGAATAATCCACACTAGATCTTACGTGGAAGTATAGCTCATTAAATCTTCATGAGACTTAACAGAACATTCCCCGAACAGTACTGTCTCTCTAATTTTGAATTCTCTGGAGTGTATTTGAGTCTGGCTTGGTGGATTTGTCCAGAAGATGGTTTGAATTGTTGGAGGGCTGATAAGGGGGTGGTGGGTTAATCGGAAGCACTCAGAAGGCTCACTGAGGTACACATACCTTCCCAGTGAGCTTATCTGTACCTGCGCCATGGCTCCGGGATGGCCCTATAGTTCTCCCGCTGCCCGGCTCTGCGCACGCGTTCGGGAAGCCATGATGGCAGGCTCAGCCCTGGATGGAACCGTGTCCCAGTTGAGAAAACACGGACACAGGTCTATGATTCTGAACTTGAGCCAAACCATGAGGAAGTGAAAGGTGGGAAAACATGATCACCCTGGTGGAGGGAGGCCTCTATGGGCCTGAGAAAGCGCTGTCTAGGGCTGGAGTTCCAGAGAAGAACCTAATTAAAGCTTTAGAGAATCAAAGGTGCAGAATCTTGGCTCCATCCGCTGTCTTGAAGGGAAAAGTCGAATCTCACAAAATAAGGCTCCAAAATAAGGCTCCAAAATGTTGTGACTTCTCTCCCCTTACCTTTTCGTCTTCTCATGCGGCCCCCAAAGCCTATCGCCATCTCCGTGTCGCTCAGAGAGAGTGGTCCCTAGAGGAGAGGAGCTCAGTGCAGCCCGATGCTCCAGCCCTAGTGGCTGCCGCTGAAGCCCGGAGGTGGGGGAGGGGAATGCACAGTTGGTACCACGCAGGCCTTTAGGATCAGACGTGACACAGAACAGAAGCTGAGGTGTGGGCTGTGGGGTCTGACCTGGCTTTGAAACTCAGCTCTGGGGCACCTGGGTGGCTCAGAGGGTTAAGCCTCTGCCTTCGGCTAGGGTCATGATCTCGGGGTCCTGGGATCGAGCCCCGCATCGGGCTCTCTGCTCAGCAGGGAGCCTGCTTCTCCCTCTCTCTCTCTGCCTGCCTCTCTGCCTACTTGTGATCTCTGTCTGTCAAATAAATAAATAAAATATTAAAAAAAAATAAAAACTCAGCTCTGATATTTTTCCACTCCAGTGTTGGACAAAGTAACCTGACCTTTCTGTGCCTTCATTTCCGCATCGGTACAATGGAATATTATCACCTCATAGGCTCGCAGTGGGTATTGAATGAGATCATGTAATGAAGGAACAAATTCACCGCCTGGCACTCAGCTGTGGGGACGAGACTTGAGCGTTTAGTCACAAGTCCTCGGAAAGGTGTGCAGGAGCACAGGGGTCTTCTGTTCATGGGATGACTCGAAGGTGCTACCGGCCAGCGGGTTCCAGAATAACTCTTAACCTGCATTTGCTGCTGATCCCCAGTTTGAGAAGTCCAAGCCTGTGTTTCCGTGGCATTGAATGTCACGCAGACCTGCCACCACTGAGCATGGCCATGTGTCTGAGAGCACCTGGTCAGAAACACAGCTCTGGAAGAGACTCCAACACCATATCATGAATCCTTTGGTGGACGGTTCCCTCATTTATAGCAACAAAATTCATCCAACTTCATTTCTGTCATGAAACCATCAGGGGTAACAGTGTGGTGTTTGGGGAGTGGCGGGAGACAGTGTGAGATGGAGGACAGAGAGAGAGAGGGAGAAGAGTTTGATCTCTATGCTGATAATATTTTATTTAGGGATCCAGTGTTAGGCCCCGAGGAATAAAGTCAAGGAGTGCAGTGGGAGAAAAGGGAACTACTTCCGCTATTCCAGGAAGTGCTGGTGGAAAGGGGAGTTCATACGTGCGGGGCCTCCAGAGAGCGGAGGAGGGCCCACAGGACGAGCGCCAGGAAGGAGCAGATATCAGCTCTCTGGGGGTGTCTCTTCCTGCCCAAATGACTGCAGGGCCTTGGGTCAGGGAGGCCCAGTGTCTTATTCAGCAGATATTCCTACATTGATGGCTGAAGAGACTCTGAGGGCCTAGAAATCAAGCTTTACACTTAACACGCTTTCCGTTTTCTTTATGAAACCAGCTCTGAACCAAAGAGGAACACAAAACTGAGAGCTGAGACCAGACCCAGGCCGGTAGTAATTCAAGAAATCTTTTTTTAGTGAGAACACTGCTTCCTTTATGGTATTATAAATAGTCTGTGGAGACCTGGGTCCACCATTGGTCAAATTTGCTCACCTTTCTGAGCCTCAGGCCTCTCATCTGTGGAATGGGTGTAAATCCTACCAACTATGAAAGATAATGGATACAAATGCCAAGTCCAGTGCTTTGCTCATAGTAGGCACTTAATAAAGGACAGTTTCTCTCCCCCAGCCAAGGCCCTTATATCCCACTTCTTCCCTAACTCTTCCCCATCATGTTCCAAGATCCCATCATATTTTTGTCCACATCTGTCTGCAGGTGTGGCTCTCTAACTTCCTAATTGATGTCTCCGTGTATCTCTTCTGACTCAACAAAATGCTTTCCTGACTCAGGCAGCCAGAGTTGGGAATCCTTTCCCTTGCCCTCATGACACTGTGTACATTCATCTCTCTGCGTTATAATCATTGTGTTTCCTTCCTGGACTCCCGGAAGTCAGGGACTGTCATTGTTTGGTTTGTATCATGGCCCCAGGTACCCACCTGGTAGACACTAGACACTCAGGAAATGTGCATTAAATGAAGGACAAAAAGATCAAAGAAATGAACTGTACTGAACCCTCCTGAGAAGAAAACTTTCTTCTCCCACTAGAATCTTCTCCACAATGAGTGCCAAGATAGGAGATTCAAGTGGGACTTTGGGGTAGTCTCTCCTTTTATCTACTCCCCCACTGAAGATGGACTACACATGAGTGACCTAGATATGACTGGCCCCTTCCAGGAAAGATTCCAGCCTTACTACCCAGGGGCTGAACCAAGTTCCCCCCCCCCTCCAAATTCTTATGTTAGAAGTTATAACTCCCAGTACCTCAGAATATGACCTTATTTGGCGTGAGGGTCTATACAGAGGTCATCAAGTCAGAATGAGTTCATCAGGGTGAGCCCTGATCAATTTGACCAGTGCCCTTATAAATAAGGGAAATTTGGACCCAGAGATAGGCACGCAGAGAGGGAAGAGAATGTGAAGAGACATGGGGAGAAGCTGGCCATCTTACAAGCCTAGGGGAGCGGCCCAGAACAGATTCTCTGTCCCGGTAGGAACCAACCCTGCCGCCATGTTGATTTTGGACTTCTGGCCTCCAGAACTAGGAGACGATAGATTTGTCTGGTTTAAGCTGCCCAGTCCGCGGGCCTTGGTTACGGCAGCCTTAGCAAACCAGTAACACACTGCCCCACACCAGGCAGCTGTGCTGGGGAGCCACCATCATAGCAGCTGCCTTGCTTCCCAAGCCAAGAAGCCAGCTCCTGGAACGGGGAAATGACCTACAGGCTGAGCAAGGGGAGGTCTGTCCATTCAGACAGGAACTGATCCTCCTCCTCCCCTGGCTTCAGCCTTTTCTTCCACAGGCAAGCTCGTGAGCACTGTAATCAGAACCCTCGTCTGCACGTCCCGATCAGATGTTGTCTCTTGAGAAGGTAGTAATTGTTCACAGGATTTTTAAGTGTGTTCCTATATATCCTAAGTGTTGCTGTATTTAGTGTGTCTTGTGAACGTCAATAAGAAATAACATTTACAAAAAAAAAAAAAAACCAGCAGATTCCTTGTTTTGAGTTTCAAGGTGAGCAAAGCTGAAGAAAATGCCAAAATAATACGCAAATATTAATACGCCATAGGTAAGGCCTCTTGGAATTTCTTTTCCTCAGCTGTCAACACAATTCAATCTCCGTGTCATCATCATCATTATCATTTTTTTAAATAGAATCTGCTCAGTGTTTCCTTAAACGGGGACTGTTCTCCCGTGGCTCTTAACTCGGCACCGTTCTCTCCTTTGTGTGTTGGCAGGCAATTTTGACTGGGTGGGGAATGACTTCACCCAGAACGCGGGCACAGGCCTCGTTATCAACCAGGCGGACGTGAGAAACAACAGGAGCATCATCAAGCAGCTGAAGGATGTGTTTGAGCGGGACTGGTACTCGCCCTACGCCAGGACCCTGCAGCCGACCAAGCAGCCGAACTGCTCTGGCCTGTCCAGGCTCAGACCCCCCACCAACAAAACTGCCACGTACCCCCTCAGCGCGAAGGACCCCGCCAGCGTATCCCGTGAAGGAACAAACTGACAGGACAGCTTGTCTTTCCTATTTATATAGAAGGGACTTGAGGAGAGTTTAAAAAAAAAAAAAAAACAAAACACACAATTTATTATGTCTTTTTTAGGGAAAAAGCACACTTCCACAAGAATATTCTCCGCACGCCATGTAATATCTTATCTAACAATATCTTAGCGGCGTGTACACGAAGTTTAGGACTTTTGTATTTGTTACTCCTGACAGAGAATGTCATTTCAGCTTAGAAGTTAGTTTTTACGTTTGCATACCGATTTGAAGACTCTCATGCCTCTTCCTTCCTAGTTTTAGACCTTTTTCTGCTGACCCAACTGGTCTGTCCTTTCGAAGCTTAGCATGAGGTAAATGCTTTCACACCCTTCTGAGATCTGCTTCTTAGAGAGGCGAGTGAGGCTTTCACCACAGCCAAGGGACTGATCCAGCCAAGTACTTAGCCCGTAAACCGTCTCCAAGACCCATGCAGTCATCCGAGCGTGAACAGCTCACATCTCATGCCAGCCTTGGCATGCTCGAAAACCACCCTTTGGCCTCTTCGTTTTCTTCAAATACTGTACCTTTTACTTGGTACCATTTTTTTCTCTTCTCAGAGAATGTCCTTCTTAGCATCAGTGTCCCTCTGTCCACCTCCACGCTAGTTGCAAGTATGGCAACGTTTCTTGGAAATGTAGGAATTCCTCCGAATGGATACCAAGTGGAAATAGCAGTCTTTAATTTTCACCTTCCAACTGCATTTTCCCCTCAAATTAAGAGTTTAAAAACCACAGCCAGCAATAGGTATCTTTTCTCTCAAGCTCGGAAAAATTAGGTAGCTACCTGCGAAAATCCAGCAAGCGATTAGGTCTGCATTATGAGAATAAAGTAGTTTCTCACATTTTGTTGTTGTTGTTGTTAGCTTAACGGTATTAAACCAGCAAGATCTCTATGCATCCGTGGATTTTAATTTCTTTAGAATCACTCATTATGCTGTTAAGGGTATGCCAGCAAACCTTTATAGAGCTATTTAATATACCAAATGCTTTTCAGAGAAATGCAATTTAAATACTGTGCTTCACATATTTTACTAAGAAACAAAAATACTGGATTATTGTTCTATAACGTCGTGTGTTGCTGTTTTCTATCTATACAATATATAGCCCTATATTAATGGAGACTGTTGCCCCCCGTCAAGACAGGCATGGCCTCTTTAGAGCCCAGAGCAGGTGGTCACCGGGATGCCAGTCTCAAGGTCGCTCCTAACCCCCACGGGCCTGGAAGAGGGTCCTGCTCTCCTTGGCCTCGGGTTTCTATTGGTAACGTAGGGACGGTCATACCTACCTCGCGTAGATGTTGTCACGGTAGGAAATATTTATAACTTGTTTTGAAATCAAAAGAACCTATATAAATGCTAAGCATTGTGATGTATAATCTTTTCCTTGAACTAATCTTTGTGGTACCCTGAGATAATCCATACCGGGTTCTTGCAGAGAGCCTACAAGGGAAAACAAATCCACAGCCTTCAGCTGTCGGTGTGGGTGCACACAGGAACTCTGAAGCTGTGCTGGAGATCGGGACTGTCATCACTGTGATGGAACATTTTGTCGGGTCACTTTGGCATAAGTAACATCCATATAAAACAAGACATTGTGTTAGGGATTGTTCTTGAGGACCAGTATATACATGTGTTTTCAGAGCAAGGAAAAGCAATCTCAATTACTACCTTTTATATCTAGAGACTTGCTTTTCTAGAAGAAGTTCCGAGTCTCATCCTGTGGGTTCCGTTGGGGTAAAAGGGCCGTGTGGGTCAGCTGATGGTCACGTAGCTTCTTTCTTTGTTGCTTCCAACATAGGCCTTACTGGATAGATGACCCATCAGTGAAGATAGCCGGGCAAGATGGGGAGGTCCTTAATGGAAGTGTTCACCGCTAGCGGCTAGGCCATGAGACTCTAAATATTTACCATATCCCCAGTCCTTATTTGAGTAGGGGGACGGTCCTGCCAGCCATCTCGCTAAAGTAAAGGTGGTTTTGGAAATGATTTTAAAAAGAAAGAAAACTAAAGAACAAGCAGAGTGGGCATGAAGACAAGCAAACATACCCGGTTCGGTCCTGGGCAAAGAAGAGCAACCGGGGCTGGGTTCGACACGGCGTCCAAGGGGGAGACATAATGTTGTCTCCTGGAGTGCGCGTCCCAGCTGAGGGACAAGCGTTGGCTTGGCATAAGGGGGCCCCTTTCACTGTCCCTTGCTTTCCCATGTGATAGGAGAGAACTGAATCCTTTATAAAATGACCATCTTTGCCATTTTGCGCTGAGCCCATCAGTAAGGTGGCATCAGGAACCGAGTCCCGGGACTTCGTGCCACAAGGGCCAGCAGCAGCAGAGTGCCCCCTGCCCTGTGGCCCAGAGGCCCACCTCCTCAGCCAGGACACTGACTTCAGGAGACAAAGCTGGCCTCCAGGCAGCTGGGAAAACAGCCCCTGCACAGAGTTTCCTAAATGGGCCAGGTTTCCTGAGAGAGTGTTCAATTCGGCAGAATCTTCTTTTGCATTTGGATGCTTTATGTGCCCCTCTAGGAGTGGCCTTCCTCTCTTTCCAACTCCATGTCTGTGCTAAACAGACGAGCAACTTCCATCCCGCTCCCCCCCAAACGCCCCACCAATGATATCCCAAGAAGGAAAGAAGGCAAAGCAAAAACACGTGAATTCGAGACAATCTGACGATGCCCTTGCCAGAAATTAGGAGCAAGAGGCTAACTGCTAACTTCCATTGTTTTTCTCCATAAATATTCCAACAAGAGTTAATTTCCCAAAGGGGAATATGAAAAGGAATGCAAACACAGTCCAAGACCATAGTTTAGAGTTCTGTGTCACTTCCATTAACCTGGTGCCTTATTTATTCTCAAGCATTGATTTTAAATCGTGATTCACTCTACGAGAATACTTCTGCTTCCCGTGGGGTCCGGTGAGGCCTTCCGACGGGCCTTCCGGGCAAAGTGCGTGAGCGTCGATGGCTTTCAGGCAGCCTGCTCTCCTCCCGAGCCTCCCCGCACCGAGCACCCCCACATCAAGTCACTGACACACACGGTCAAACGTCCACACTGTTGGCCTCCTGTACACTGCCACCGGCCACCACTGTATCCGCTAATTAAATCACAGCTTATCAAATCGCCGGAGGGGAAGTGGAATGTTCTGGATGATATCCGTGCTCTGTGAATGCCATGCTTTGCGTAGCTGAAAATGACAGAAGCGAGGCACGGTGGAAAAGGTCCCCGCTGTCTTTAAAGGACCTCGTCGAGAGATGCTCATGGACTTCCACGGTCTCGTGGGGCACAGCGTGAAAACTCGTGTCTCAAAGTCAAAGCAGACGCAGTAAAGGAAACGAGAGTTGCGGACGCGGAGAACGGTCTGTCGTGTAGCTCTGGGCTCTTTCTTCTGCCCGGGATGTCTCTGCTGCTGGTCTCCCCGCGACCCAGTTCTTCGTGACGGTCGGATCACATCGTTGGCTGATCTCGCCGTGTGCAAACTGTGTTTTGTGACCGCGGTCACTGGTCTGTTCAAAGTGCCTCGCTGAGCCTGGGACCCACAGAAGCTCGTCTCCCACCAGCCTGAGGCTGTTCTCAAGTGGCTTTGATTCACTCTGAGCTTTCTGTTGTTTTTAGAAGCTTTTATGGAACTAAATTCCAGGGGAACACAAAATAAAGAGACTCAGAATTTCTTGATACGATCAGACCCAGGGTCCGTCTGTCTCAGGAATTCTATCCCAGAATCTGCCTTTTTTTCGTATGTGTAATCGCTTGTGTGAGCTTCTCTGTCCGGAATTCTCTTCATTATCTTTTAACACTGAAGGGATGTGAAGAGCTGCCGTCACTTGCGAGGGGACAGTTCTCTCCTGCCATGACAGACACTTTGCTACTGGCTACTCCGATGCCGTCCCTGACGAACAGCCCCACGCACTGTGGACAGATGTCCGAATGCTTGGATTTCTGTACTCCGTGAACTGGTGCACTTTATTATAAGCCTTTTGAATGGGGAGATTTATATAATGTCCATTTGGCCCAAGGTAGGTTGGATAAATGAGTCCATAGTCAGCATTTTCCCATTTGCTGTCATTTAGCTCTTCTTTGTTTTCTTTTATATGCTAGTAACCAAACAGCTGTTCCTCATGAGCTGTCAGCCAGTCGAGGCTTTTTAATACCCCCGAAGTCAACCCCAGTTCACTGTCTGCCTTCCCTCTGAGAGACTCCCTTCTAGCGGCTGCATTATGAAGAGAGCTTTTTAGGGTGACTAGATAGGTATTCTTTGAAAGCTTCTAGAAAGAGTAAAAACCGAATTTTCTTATTTTTGACTCCTCAGCCATCGTATACCTTCAGAGTTCACCAAAAAAAAAGGTCACTGGTCACTTTTGTTTCTTTTGGCAATTTACTGAGGAGAAATGGGGAATTTAATAGCTATTCCGCATTTTCTGCTGTTATGTTCAACTGCTGAACTTCTAATTCTGTTACAAAGGATATCTTGGATTTTTAATGTTTCTTTATGTAAACAGGATAAAGTTGTACCTGGATATATCTATCCTATTAACCTTAAGATCCCTAAATAAATCAGTGTGATAAAGGGCTGAATTGGGGGGCATTATTAAAATTCTCAAATCTTTCATATAACCAAATGCTCAATTTTTTCATAAGTGAATATTATACGGTTTTTTCATTGTGTGAGATGAGGCATGTATTTTTCTCCTCAGCTTCCAGACTCCACACTCCGGCCCGGTGACAGAAAAGGAATTTGTGGAAACAAGCTCAGGTGCCTCATGCGCTTACCCACCACACTCTGTTCTTTCTAGGCTTCAACCCATAATCAAACACACCTGGTATCCACTCAGCAGACCCAAATTTAATCTCAGGTCTGGAGCATTCCTTGAAAGCCATCCAACACAACTACTCCAAATGCACAAATTCCCTTCCAATTTGGCCACTCAGCGGTTGGGGACCTACTCAAGCCAACATATCGGGAGTGGTTGCTACAGTCCCTTTCATGAGACCCACACAAAGTACCGCCTTAGTGATTTGCTAGAGTCGCTTGGATTTGAGACAACATCTTACCTCTGAAAGAATGTACGTGGCGGGGACCCTTTCTATGAAGGGATGAAGGCTGAGGAGACATACTTTTTTCAAAGCTATCATTTGAGAGTTTAACAAAGGCTTAACCAAACCAACTTGAAGAATCTGCAACAGTCTATTGTAATTTGATTTTTGTCAGATGTTTCTGAATCCCGCCATTTCAGGTTTTAAAACGAAATTGGCCTGGGCACCTGGGTGGCTCAGTTGGTTGGGCAACTGCCTTCAGCTCAGGCCATGATCCCAGGGTCCTGTGCTGCAGCCCCACATCGGGCTCCCTGCTCAGTGGAGAGCCTGCTTCTCCCTCTCCCTCCGCCTGCCACTCTGCCTACTTGTGCTCTGTCAAATAAATAAATATAATCTTAAAAAAAAAAAAAAAGAAATTGGCCTAACAATCTAATGA